CTCATCTCCTCCACTCCCCTCTTGGATTGTCTTCATTTCTTCACCCTTTTTGCGGATCGCGATGGCCCTGAATCAAGAAACGTAAACTTTTCCGATCCCCCCTTACTTTGAGTCAAATCACTTCCCTTTTTTGTAGCCTAGGAATGATTTGTTCATGTTCATGTTAAAAATCATGATGAACCCTAGTTTAGTTGATATGATGAACCTAGGTGATTGCATCTAGATAATACAAGTTAGGTTATTAGCTCGCTCATAGGTTATGATCCTTGGTGATGAATCATGATGAACCCTAATTGATATTTTTTCACCACATGATGAACCCTAATTCATATTTCCTAGGTTTAGATTTTTTGGAAGGTGATGAACCCTAATTGATATTTCTAGATAATACAAATTAGGTTTAGAATTTTTGAACATATGATGAACCCTAGGTTTAGAATTTTTGACCATATGATGAACCCTAGGTTTAGTTTTTTTTTTGGAGAAGATGAAACTTAATTTGTGTGATGCATCCATATGTTTAGCTACCCGTCCTTCTCCGAGCACATCCCGTCTGCCATGCCGCTCTCGTTCCTGTACGAGTCCTTCCCCGAGGTGCTGCAGCCGGTGCGATCTGTCTCAGACGAGGTCCTAGAGGCGACGAGGGAAATGCGGTGGCAGGAGAGGGCAGAGCGGATCTTCGACGATGTCAAGTGTTGGTCGCGGAGTGTGAAGGAGTGGAAGGGAGTGATTGCAGAGATGGAGGCAGATCCAACTATTTCCCGTGTCCGCCGGCAAGAGACCATTGAAGCTGCCAAGCAGCACTCCAACTGGGAGCTGCACAATTTGGGCCAAAGAATCTACTTTGAGAGCAATGCGGAGAAGAGAGCCAGGATGCCGCCCCAAGTGCATCGGCGTTCGAGATCATCAACTGGGGAAGGGCGGAGGCGAAAACTATAGCGGGCAAGGAAAGGTGGGAGTGCTTGAACGGTCGGGTGCCGACCAGCGTTCCACCTCCGCCTGAACCGGTGGATCCGCTGCCGTTTCTGTCTCCACGGCCAGGCCTAACATACGAGGAGGTCTGAAGATGTGTGTCCGCTCTCAAGATTTTGTTGCACCGTTTGTTGGCTTTGCGAAAGCTTTTTGCGAAACTACTTGCGTTAGTTGGGTTGTCAAACTATGTTGACAAATTTGCTATTTGCTATTTGCTATTTATGAACTTATGTGTAAACTGTTAGATATTTGCTATGTGGAATCTTTATTAATATGTGAGCTCATATTTTGCTATTTGTGAAACTATGTAAAACCTGTGATAAATTTTTACAAAAGACCTGTGATAAAACTTTACAAAAGAAACAATCAGTAAAACTTAAAAAAACAAACAAACCCGCAAGACCTACCGCCAAGCCATCTGACGGTAGGATATCATAACCTACCGTCCAGGCTTGCGGTGGTAGGGTGGTGCGCTGGCCGTTAGGTAACGACAGTGGACCGTCCATGCCACCGCCAAAACCCCTGGCGATAGGTTGACTGACCCTACCGTGGAGCCCTATGGCAGTAGGAGAAGGGTTAAATTTTTTAAAAAAATCAAACAGGGTCAAGATCCCGAATTTGTTTACCAAATGGGTTAAAACATGAAATTTAGCCTGTGTCTCGGCCCCCTGCCAGCCTCTTCCCCCATCTTCTGTGGATAAAGGATAAGAAACCTGCACACGAACAGGAAGAAGCGCGCACACCGAGCGAGCGGCGGCAGCACCGAACCCGTCCATGGCGTCCCTCTCCCCCTCCCTCCACCTCCCTTGGTACCGCTTACTTCTTTCTACACCCCTCATCGATGTCTTCACAGACGAGTCTATCTGTTTCTTCGCCCCTTTCTTCGATTTGGTTCTTTCTGTTGAAATGCACGGAGCGCCGTGGTTCCACCCGCGCAGGCGGTCATGGATGGTTCAGTCGCAATCGCATTCGTTGTAGGCTGCAGTTATCTTGTCGCTTCGCCGAGAATAAGTAGTTCTTGATTCCGATGCTATTGGCTTAGGGACTGTGCCAATAGGCTGTGTAAGTAGATTGGTTACCAAGTAGTCCCTCCGTCCCAAAATAAGTGTCTCAACTTTGTACTAGCTCTAGTATAAATTTATACTAATCTCAAGACACTTATTTTTGGACGGAGGGAGTAGTAAGTTCAGCGTTCTCTGACACTTTGAACTCGGGAGACACGTAATCGTATGGGGACTTTGCTCATTGTATTAGATTAGGATTGTGGCTGTGGATGGGGCACAACTGTCCTGCTACTTAGTTCAATGTACCAATGCCTTGGGTATACTAATAGTACTCCCACATTTTGATTTACGTCCATAGGCCGGTAATATGCACAATATGCATCTATCATTTAGCATCCCAAATTTTTGTATCCACAAAATGGGGTGGATCATGAAGTTATTCATCATAGGACCGTTCTGGAACAACCTCATTACCGTGTATACAGATATTGATATCCCAGATTCGTGGGTTGCAAAGTCACCTCCAGGTTGTTTTTTTATTGAAGGTCTAGCTTTCCAAAAGCTTTAAATGAAGTATTGCCTTATCATGCTACTGATAAGCTGAGCTCCAAACAAGGAGTGGATTTTGTGCAGAACTGAAACAAGGGTCTTTAATAGTATCTTATTTTGTTACTACCGAGCAAGAAAAGAGGAGTGGTACCTGGTATGCTAGGTGAATGGTTCAGGGTCATGTTTTTAGCTACCGATTTTTAGATTTTGTAGCTTATATCATTTTGTCTTTGGGTCTCACTAAAAATAGTCCTGCTGAGCATTCATGATTTTATCTGTATTTCGCTTTACTAATGTGTCTGCAGAGAAAGTAACGTGTTCTTATTTTTGACGTAAGGGCTTGTGCTTTTCTATGCAAAATACATAATATTTTTCTGAATCTTATTTTTATGTGAAATAAAACAGCAATTCAAGAATTGGCTTCCTTGGTAAGTCACAAGGCATACTTCTTCGTGTTATCCCTGCTGGCAGAGTTGGTTTCATTAGAAAAACAGTGGAATGCAAGGAATCTAGAATCGGAAAGAAGCCGATTGAAGTTCCATCAAATGTTACTCTAACACTAGAGGAGCAGTTTGTCAAAGCTAAGGGTCCACTGGGAGAGTTGTCATTAAACTATCCCACCGAAATAAAAGTTGTGAAAGAAGAAACTGGCAAATTGAGAGTATTCAAGACTGTGGAAACCAAAAGGGCGAATCAGATGCATGGCCTTTTCAGGTAAAACTGACAACAGAAACTGCAAAATGAGTTTGCTTATTTCACTGTCATTGCGTCACTGCTCATTATGTTTGTTCCATAACTTTTCTTGTGTACCCAAAGTGAGTACTAACTTGTGATGCCTGCTCTTGCCACAATTCACATATATGAGCCATCACTTCTTGCACTCAAGAGCGGCAGTATGAAAAAAAAACTCAATTACACTGTGATACCACCAGTGCCTGAAAATGAAGTTCTATCACATATGCTATCCGCACAACCTTTTACTCTTACTAGGTCCTATAGAATATGTGAATTGCACGATGTATTGCTCTCGTGCATAGGCACGTATATATGATGTACAAAGGTGGGCCACGGACCTCAACTATACAAGGAACTAGGAGGCGGGCCCAATACACAATATGCACATAACACATATACTCAACAGCTCCTACAAGATTCTAGTTTCGAGAAAGCAATGCTTAAATTCTTTAGGAGACATCCTATCTTCCCAATCATAAATGTAGGTGGTCATCTTGCTTTGTTTAGCTCTAAAATTGTTCAATGTAGGTGGGGAAGAAACAGAGAGAGCTTTTGTAACATGTCTGCAAAAGATTTGGATAGAAGTATTTATTTCCTACATTTGGTACCCTGTTGTCTATTTTCATACCAAGGCAAACAAATCTAGTTTAGGCGGGGAGCTAAATAAATGGAAAAGAAAGATATAATTTTTGTCAAGTGTCAAGGGATTTGCCACTACAACTATTTTTATGCATGATGATAGATTGATATGAGACCAAATTCTGTCTCCTTAACTGTTTGTGAACATGGATCGATCCCTTAACCCTTGACTCCTTGAGTCAAGCTTTAGCCAACCCTTTCTTTCCTTTTCTTTTTTGTTACTGGTATCTAAATTTGCTGTCGTTAATCATAAGAGCATAATGTTCTTATACAGAAGCAGAATGATGTTTGCACATTCATTCGCTAACTAACTAAAAGTAACTATTGGTTGGTTGGATTAGATCAATCATCTCGAAGTTGTTCTAAAAACACGGTTGCAAATTGTTGTTAATGCAGAACCCTGACGGACAACATCATCGTGGGGGTGTCAAAAGGATTTGACAAGAGGCTTCAGTTAGTGGGGGTTGGGTACCGTGCGACGGTGGAGGGCAAAGACCTGGTGATGAACCTGGGATTCTCGCACCCAGTCCGGATGGCTGTCCCAGAAGGACTTCAAGTCAAGGTGGAGGAGAATACGAGAATCATCGTGAGTGGGTACGACAAGAGCGAAATCGGTCAGTTTGCTGCCACCATAAAGAAGTGGAGGCCTCCGGAGCCATACAAGGGGAAGGGTATCCGGTATCAGGACGAGATTGTCAGGAGGAAGGAGGGCAAAGCTGGGAAGAAGAAATAGAATGCTGTTTATTTGTTTGTTTGCATTTCATACGTACTTTTGTTCTGTTCTCCCTCGGTAATCCGCCATCTTCCGAGTACTACCATGTTCCTTAGCCCTTGCACACTTTGTAGAGAAAAATGTCACAGTTTACGTCATTGCGATAATTTCTCAGCAGGTGGCGTGGCGGAGCGCCCATCGCATCTTTGAAATTTTGCCTGGTGGCAAGGAAAGAACTCAATCAAGTCGAGTGTTTGCTCAACGGCAAACACTATGAATGGAGCAAACACTATGAATGGAAATGATTCAATTGCTCTTTTCGTGGACTTGTAGTCCTAGTGGTCATATGGCCTAGGAGACGACTGCACGGAGAGGACCCAACCGTGGAGCATTCCAGTCATGTCATGAGATTGCTATCTTCAAATCATTAAAAAAAAAGGGTGATGAGATTGCTAGTGCCTAGTGGCGTGGACTCCTCTCTCCATGCATAACAGGCATCCAGTGCACTGCCAGCGGTGAATGATGCCAGCTGATATCTCATGCAGTTTCATGCGTAGCAACAACTTCATCCTTGTTTCCAGCAAAAAAAACAACAACTTTTTCATCCTTGTTTCCAGCAAAAAAAACAACAACTTGTCAGCGCACGTCAACAACAACAACAATTTCATGTTTTTTTAAAGATTTAACCAAGCTTTATTCATCAAAAAACCACAGTTTGTGGGATACATGTTGGGTCATGAGGGTGACCAAACCAAATATGGCGCCCCAGCCCTAACGAAAGAGAATGCTTGGCTGACTTATGAGCTTCTACGTTCGCCTTACGACTTTCAAAAGTAAAGCTACATTTAAAAAAAGTAGAGCCTTATGACTTTCAAAAGTAAAGCTACATTTAAAAAAACTAGAGGACAAGCAAGGTCTAACCTTGGGGGAGTTGATAGGTCTGTATTTTGTTTTCATCGACACCTCTCTCTCTCTAATCATGGGGTCATGATTATCGATTTCGGCTTTCGCTTGAGGACAAGCGAGGTCTACACTTGAGGGAGGATACGTCCATCTTGTATAATGATTTTCTACTGTTATTTATTGTGTTTTGGATTGTTATTTCACTTTATGATGCAATTCTTATGTCTTTTCTCTTTTACTTTGCAAGTTTCATATGAAGAGGGAGATTGCCGGCAGCTGGAATTCTGGATCGAAAAGAGGTACATCAAAGATAGCTATTCTGCACAACTCCAAATGACCTGAAAAATTACGGAGAGTTGTTTTGGAATATATAAAAAATGTTGGCAAAGGAAACACCAGGAGTGGACCCACCAGGAAGCGACAAGCCTAGGGGCGCGCCCCCCGAGCTTGTGGGCCCCCCGACAGGCCTCTGGTGCCCATCTTTTGCTATATAAAGCCATTTGCCCTAGAAAAATAATCAGAAGAAGACTTTCGGGTCGAAGCGCCGCCGTCTCGAGGCGGAACCTCGGCAAGAGCACTTTTGCTCTCCAGCGGAGCAATTCCGCCAGGGAAACTTCCCTTCGGGAGGGGGGAATCGAAGCCATCGACATCATCAACGATCTTCTCATCGTGGGAGGATCAATCTTCATCAACATCTTCACCAACACCATCTCCTCTCAAACCCTAGTTCATGTTTTGTATTCAATCTTTGTCCTAAAACCTCAAACTGGTACCTACGGGTTGCTAGTAGTGTTGGTTACATCTTGTTGTTGATCCTAGTTGGTTTATTTGGTGGAAGATTAAATGTTCATATTCTCAAGCATATTCAATACCCCTTTGATCTTGAACATGAATATAATTTGTAGTATTTCTTTTATTCTCGAGGACATGGGAGATATCTTGTCATAAGTAATCATATGATGTTGGTATTCGTTTGATATTTTGCTGATATGTATGGTGCTGCTTCCCTTAGTGGTGTCATGTGAACGTCGACTACATGACACTTCACCATATTTGGGCCTAAGGAAAGACATTGTGGAGTAATAAGTAGATGATGGGTTGCTAGAGTGGCAGAAACTTGAACCATAGTTTATGCATTATTTCGTAAGGGGCTGATTTGGATCCATATTTTTCTTGCTATGGTTAGATTTATCTTTATTCTTCTTTCGTAGTTGCAGATGCTTGCGAGAGGGGGTAATCATAAGTGGGTTGTTTGTTCAAGTAAGAACAACACCCAAGCACCGGTCCACCCACATATCAAATTATCAAAGTAGCGAACGCGAATCAACTAAACATGATGAACGTGACTAGACGACAATTACCATGTGTCCTCGAGAGCACTTTGCTTTATATAAGAGAACTTTCCGTCTTGTCCTTTGCTATAAAAAAGATTGGGCCACCTTGCTGCACCTTTGCTACTATTGCTACTTGTTACTTGTTACCAATTACCTTGCTACAAAACTATTTATCACCGTTATGTACAACACTTGCAGAGAATACCTTGCCACAAATGGCTTATCATTTCTTTATGCTCCTAGTTTGGTTAAACACTCTTACTATCGAAAGGACTACGATTGATCCGCTATACTTGTGGGTCATCAAGACTCTTTTCTGGTGCGGTTGCCGGGGAGTGAAGCGCCTTTGGTAAGTGGAAATTGATAAGAAAACATTTATATTACATGTTGAAATTTGCTGTCACTTGTCACAATGGAAAATAATCCTTTGAGGGATTTGTTCGGGGTATCTTCACCTCGATCGGAAGCAATAAATGTTTCCCCTCAACCTGCTGAACCTACTAAAAATATTTATTGTGAGATTCCTTCCGGTATGTTAGAGAAAATGCTAGCTAATCCTTATGTAGGAGATGGAACAATACATCCTGATATGCACTTAATCTGCGTGGAAGAAATTTATGGATTGTTTAAGCTTGAAGGTTTATCTGAGGATGGAGTCAAGAAGAAGGTATTCCCTTTATCTTTGGAGGGAAAGGCATTGATATGCTATAGGCTATTGGATGATATTGGAATATGGGATTTGAACCGATTGGAATTGGAATTTCACCAGAAGTTCTATCCTATGCATTTGGTTCATCGTGATCGGAATTATATATATAATTTTTGGCCTCGTGAAGGAGAAAGTATCGCTCAAGCTTGGGGGAGGCTTAAGTCTATGATGCATACATGCCCCAATCATGAGCTCTCAAGAGAAATTATTATTCAAAATCATGCTCGGCTATCTCCTAATGATCGATCCATGCTCGATACTTCTTCTGCTGGTTCCTTTTGTGAATAATTAAACTATTGAATTCAAATGGGGTCTTCTAGAAAGAATTAAACACAACTCTGAAGATTGGGAATTCGAAAAAGGTAGAGTCAGATATAAAAGCTTGAGTTTGATTGTGTTAAATCTTTTATTGAAACAAATGTTTTTCATAAGTTTAGTACTAAATATGGACTTGACTCTGAGATAGTAGCTTCCTGTTGTGAATCATTTGCTACTCATGTTGATCTCCCTAAGGAGAAGTGCTTTAAATTTCATCCACCTATTGACGATATGTTAGAGGAACCTGTTATAGCTAAAGATGAAAGTATTATTATAGTGTTGATCAAGTTCTGCCTACTGCTTATATTGAGAAACTTCCTTTCCCTGCTAGGATTAAGGAACATGCTAAAGGTACAACCGTGGTTAAGAAGAGTAATATTAGCACACCTAAATCCTCTGAACAAATTAGAGTGAAACCTAATATTGCTATGGTTAAAGATCTCTTGCTTGATAATATTGATGGGCATGTTATTTACTTTTGTGTGGAAGCTACTAGAATTGCTAAACCTGCTAGAAATGAACAAGATATGTTAGATAAGACTAAGCTAGTAGTTGGCATGCCTGTTATTTCTATTAAAATTGGAGATCATTGCTATCATGGTTTATGTGACATTGGTGCTAGTGTGAGTGCTATTCCATTTACTTTATATAAAGAAATCATGAATGATATTGCAATTGATAACAACCTATGGTTCATCATTAAGAATGGCGTCCCCACTTTTTCCCCAAGCATCAATGCTGCTAATGTGAAGAGATTCAAGTAACTCAACTCTCAGGCGAAGAAAATCATATGTGGACATCTTAACAAAGGGCAGTATGGCCGAGTGAGTGCACTGGAAACATCAAAGCTGATCTAGGATAGGCTCTCCAAGGTCAACGAGGGAGTTTCCACTCAACGTGACTCTTGAGTTGACATGCTTCACAATCTCCTCAATCCCTTCAAGAGGCCTTGAAAATGAAAATGTTCAGCAAACTTTGGACCGCCTCAAAAATATCTTCAATGAGCTACAAGCACTGGGTGCTGCTGATATCACTGACCACGAGGTGGTGAAGAAATTGCTGAGGTCTCTTGACAGATCCTTTGATACCTTGGCCCTGATGATACAAGAACCAAGGTATCAATCTAGTAGGAGGAATATACAAGTCTCCAATAATTGCACCTGCACAAACAAACAAATAGTTGCACCCAACGCGATAAAGGGGTTGTCAATCCCTTCAATGTTATTTGCAAGGATGAGATCTGATAGTGATGGATATAAAAGATAAGTAAAAGTGCAAAATAAAATAAAAGTAAATAAATTGTAGCAAGGTATTTTTGTGTTTCTGATTTTGTAGAACTGAAGATAATATGATAAAAGATAGAACGAGGGGCCATAGTTTTCACCAGAGGCTTCTCTCTTGAAAGAAAGCATACGGTGGGTAATTTTTTTTACTGTTGAGCAATTGATAGAAAAGCACATAGTTATGAAGATACCCAAGGCAATGATCATGTATATAGGGATTACGTCCGAGAAAAGTAGACCGACTCCTGCCTGCATCTACTACTATTACTCCACACATCGACCGCTATCCAGCATGCACCTAGTGTATTAAGTTAACCAGAACGGAGTAACGCCTTAAGCAAGATGACATGATGTAGAGTGATAGATCCAGTCAATATGAACAAACCACATCTTTTTATCCTTAATGGCAACAATACAAATATGTGTCATGTCCCTTTCTATCACTGGGATTGAGCACAATAAGATTGAATCCAT